TGTGGATGAAAGAACTATCAGAGAGATGCTTGTGGCCGCCCACACACTGACCCCCACAACAACCGCCTTTTTCCTTAGATCAGACTGGCACTAGAGAGGTCCCTGTTCCAGCCAGGTCTCTCCCAGGCAAGTGGGTGCTTGGTGGGCAGGCAGGAGCCAGTGTGTGAGGGGTGTGGTTTGGGGGCCATGCCAGTGTCCTCACCAGCACCAGAGGAAGTGGCTGACCGCCTCTGCGGGGCCATCGTACTGCCAGGAGCACTTGTAGTCGCCCTTGTTGAACACTCGGTAGCAGCTGAGGTCCCTGGGGCCCAAGTGGGAGCCTGCAAGAGATTCCTCAGGGTTCAGGGAGCCCCAAAGAGCAGAGCAGGGCCTTTCCCGCACCCCTGATACTTGGTCACCTCACTCCAGCGGGCTATGGCTCCCAGCTCCCTCTGGACGTCCCTGACCCCCGCTCCAGCATCACCAGCTGCACTTCAGGTTTCCCTTAATACAGGTCCCAGCGCACCCAGGTGCCCAGCCAGGGCGTGTGGAGTGCCTGCCTGGGTGCCCGGCTGGGGGGATGCCACAGCCTGGCCACTGAGCTGTGCCCCAGATTTTCACACCAGTTTCTCTTTTAGTGGCAGAATCTGGCCACCCCCTCACTCCCATCCCCCAGTGGACACCCCAGCAGGGCACAGGTTCACCTGTCCCCTGCGGCCTGGGCGCACAGCCGGGCTCACAGCAGATCCCGGTGCCTGCAGCGAGTCCTGCTCATCATAGATGCTCAGTTAAAAAACTATGCTGGCCAGACTAGCGTCCAGCTGCTGGGCCAGCCGTGCTCTGCCTCCGCCTGCCTGAAGATGATGAGGCCAGCAGGGGTCTCTCATTCTACCCTTTTGTCTTTTTGAGACAGGGTCACACTATGCAGCGCAGGCTGGCCTTGAGCTCACTTTGTAGCCCAGGCTGGCCTTAAACTTGCAAGGATCCTCCTGCCTCAGCCTCCCGTGTGCTGGGATTAGAGGCATGTGCCACCACGCCTGGTTCTTCTTATCCCACTCTTCAAACCTGAATTCCTGTGGGCGTAAGGCAGGTCGTGAATACAGCGGTCACTGGTCCTGTAGGCACCTGTAAATACAACCAAGAGACAGTGACATCCCTGGCCAGGCACTGTGTGAGGACTGGGCTCTCGCATGTGGTATGCACACGAGTCATCAGCTACTCATTCCTGTTCCCCACCCCACCCCCGCACCCTTCCACCCATCCAGTACCCACCATCCATCACCCTCCCATCCATTCATCCCTTTACCCGCTCATCCACCCACCCATCATCGATACACCCACCCACCCACCCTTCCACCCATCCAGTACCCAGCATCCATCACCCTCCCATCCATTCATCCCTCTACCCACTCATCCACCCACTGCATCCCAGGGCTTGGGTAGAAAGTCCACAGAGGCTATGAGACGCAGAGCTGGGGTCTCCATGGGGAGCCCCACAGAAAAGAGCAGTGAGAGCCGGAGCTGCATGGCAAGGAGCTGAGGTGGGGAGCCCCAGGACAGGACTGGGAACCATGCCAAGGAGGTGATAGCCTCCTTCCACACTGGGTCCCCACCCTGCTCAGAACTGGCAGAAGGCTGGGGCCACTGAGGTCCTGTGGGCAGAGCAGGGGCTGTGGGGAAGGCCAGAGTGCCACTAGGAAGCGCCCAGGTGGCTGACCTTGAAGGTAGCCGGCACTGATGGAGCTCTCTTCCCTTGTCAGTGATGGCCCAGACCTGCCCGCACTGGAGCCGTGCCCTTCATTCCATGGCACCAGCAAGCTGCCCCTCAGAGGGCTGGGTCTCTGCCCGGGGGCCTCAACTGCCCCGAAGCCCTGTGGCCTGGCGGTGTGGAGGCCCTGTCCTGAGCACGTGGCATCCACTCAGTGCATCAAGCCTGAAGGAGGGTCAGAATCCTGCAGGACCCTGCTACAGAGAGGGAAATGAGGCCCAGGGGGGCAGCGAAGCTGCGGAGAGGAACACACACACGGCCGCCACAGCAGCTCCCCGGAGAGGTGAGAGCCAGGCCTGGGCACCCCGCCCTGGAGCCGCAGGGCTCTGCCCGCCGAGGTGCCGTGCGCCACATGCCTGCCACGTGCTTGTCTGCTGTCCGTGCCCTTTCACACTTCTGCAGCCCTGGGGATCTTCCCAGGAGCACTGGGAGTGAGCAACTGTTGCTCCACTTCACAGAGGGGAAGATGAACACTAGAAAGCTGGCGACCAAGTCTGAGCCCAGAAATGGGGCCACCACCCACCCACCCACCTTCCCACCCTCCCACCTATATATTCACAATCTGGCCATGTAACCACCAGCCCCCCACCTACGCGGCCGTCCAACCCTCCTGTCTATCTACCCGCCCACCCACCACCCATCACCCTCCCACCCACCACCCATCCATGCTCCATGACATCACACTCTGAATGAAAACCTGGGCCACCAGCAGAACAGAGACAGTGCCGAAAGTCACTCCACAACTTCCCAAGAGGGTTCCACACCCTGCCTGGCCTCCCCTGCTTCTGCAGCCCCAGAGCCCTGCGGCCCGTGGGGGGTCGTCGCCTCCAGCCCGGCCCCAGCTAGCCACCAGTCGGCCAGCCAGCGCGGTGCACTCACCACTCCACTGGGACAGCAGCAAGAGGAGGAGACCCAGCGGGGCCACCAGCCGCAGCATCAGGTCCAGCACAACCTCGACTCAGCCACCCTGAACCCTGAACCTTCCCGGAGCACGATGAAGCTGAGCAAGAAAAAAGATGAAAAAAAAAAAAGTGTCACAACCCCTCGCCCTGAGGGAGTCAAAGCGAAAGAAGCAGCAGGAAGCCAGCTACCCGCAAAGCCACCGCAGCAGCACCAGGGCCAGGCTCAGGGCAGGGTCCCTCGGGCCACACACCGCTGCGGGGTGGGGGCAGTGCAGGCCTGAGGCCACTGGAGAGGAAGCTCATTCTCCCCCTCACCTTTGTGCTCAGTTTCTGACTCCAGGCTCCAGAAGGTTCCTGGGGAGCCAGTGACACACTAGGACCAGCGTCAGAGCACAGTGCCGAGTAGCAGCAGGCATGGAGAGGCACGCCTATCAGTCACTGGGCACTGGGGAGGCTGAGGCAGGAGGGTGGCAAGTTTGAGCCCAGCGCAGGCAGTTGAGCAGGTAAGCAAGACCTTGCCTCAAAATAAAATGTAGAAAAGAGAGCCAAAGGGCCAGGGAGATAGCTCAGTAGAATAAGTGTTTGCCTGGCAAGCGCAAGGTCCTGAGCTCAACCCCTGGTATTGCAAAAAAAAAAAAAAGAAAGAAAGAAAGGAAAAAAAAAAAGAAAAGAAAAGGGAGCCAGAGATGTACCAGTGCCATAGGTTCCACCCCAGTACCTCAAAATTAATGAATAATGAAAATTTTGAGGGCCAGAGAGATAACTCAGCAGACTAAATGCCTGCTTAGGCAAGGGCAAGGACCAGGGTTCAATCCCCAGCACCACATGCTACACCACCCCGCCCAAGGGCTCACTGAGCCGGCCACCGTGAGTCCAGACTTGGTGGCACAAACCTGTAATCCCAGCACTGGGGACGCTGAAAATAGGAGGATCACTACAAGTCTGAGCTCTGTAGTGAGATCCTGTACCAAATACATTTAAAAAATTTTAAAAAGAAAGTTTTGAAAAATGGTGAATTTTCAAATGTATGTTTCTCCCAAAGGAAAAATGTACACGTGGTCCAGATCACTGAGGGGGGACGTGGGGAAACTGAGGCCCAGGCAGGCAGGCACTGGCGTGGGCACCCTTCCTCTACAGAGCCGGGACACAGGGGCAGCTGCCCTGGCCAGGGCCAGGCGCCCCGGGGCCCATGAGGTCAGCGCCTGCAGGACAAAGGGACAGTGTCCTGTTCCTGGTACAGCGGGTGTGGGGGCCCCATGACCCGGGCGCGTGAGCAACACCCTTGGGGGCTGGGCGAGATGGACGGGGACAGTGGGAGACAGAGAGGCGGGGGCAGGTAGGGGAAAGCCCCGGTGCACCCCAGCTACTCAGGAGGCTGAGGCAGGGGATGGCCAGTTTGGGGCCAGTCTAGGCAATGCAGGGAGAGCCTCTTTCAAAGTAAAAGGAAAGATGAAAGAGGTAGTAGGGGCTCGAGCCGAAGCCTCGCCCTGCTGCGTCCTCCTGCAGCCCTGCCCCTTTCCCAGAGATGCCTTTCCCATGCCCATTTCACAGATGAGAAAACTGAGCCCAGAGGTGCTACCAGCCCACCCGAGGCTCCAGACGGAGGGGCGGAGAAGGGTTCCAGCAGCTCCAAGGGGACTGAGCCCTGACATTGTGGGCTGATGTCCAGAGCCCAGCAGTCCCTCCATACCTATCAAGGTGAACTCTCCTGGGCCTCAGTTTCCCCTTCTGCACAATGGGCCACTGGGGAATAAGGGAGGCCCTCTCACTAGCCAGGGGCACAGTCACTGCTGTGGGTGACCCTCCCTGAGGCCGCTCTCCTCCTGCACCCCAAAGTCAGCGCAGCCCCTGGTAAGGTGAAGCCAGGCCTGGAAGCTGCTGCCACAGTACTAGAGATCAGGGGCTGGGGAGGAGGCGGGCTCCCCGAGGGCTTCCTGGAGGAGTCCCCAGCTCACAGAGGGCATCTCTGGGGCAGACACAGCTGCCCAGGTGGGCAGGTGCCCAAGCTACAAGCCGCAGCGCCTGCTCTACCCGGGGCACTAGGGAGCTGCAGCAGCCGTGATCTGAGTGCCTAGCCGAGGGTGGGGCGCCTGCCCTGCTCCCCTGCAGCCTGCTCAGGACACCTTCCTGGCCCTCCTGACTTACTCGAAATAAACACCCAGATGTGCCCCACTTTCAGATTCCCCAGCACACTGGGGGGAGGGGCAGGCAGGAAGGAGCAGGTCACAGAGGACCGGAAACTGTGACAGGAAGAACTGCAGAATGTCCCCACCCCCTTGGTTTCTGCCTTCTCAGGGAGAGTGACCTTTAGCTACAACCAAGGAAGGTTGAGCTTCCCCTCTATATGGCCAAAGGGTCATCTACAGAGGGTTTTGCGGGATGAGTAGGAGTTGACAAGAACAAGTTCACTTTGGGTTTTTTTGTTTGCTTGTTTCTTGTTCCTTTTTTCTTTTTTCTTTTCTTTCTTTCTTTCTTTTTTTTTTTTTTTTTTTTTTTTTTTTTTTTTTCATGTATTTGGTACAGGGTCTCACTACATAGCTCGGACTAGTAGTGATCCTCCTGTTTTCAACCTCCTCAGTGCTGAGATTACAGACATGTGCCACCATGCCCAGTCTCGGTGGCTGGCTCAGTGCACCTGGGGGCAGAGCCAGTGCAGCATGTGGTGCCCAGGTTCAAACTCGGGTCCCTGCACTTGCCTAAGCAGAAGCTTAGTTCCCTGAGCTATCTCGCAGGCCAAACAAGATCACTTTGTTCACTTACTAAACATAGGCATTCATCAGTAAGATTTTTCTTATTCAAGCAGGACTTTCTAATGCTGGATCACTCGAGGGTTTTTACACAATACACAGAAAAGCATCAAGAAAAAACTTCACCGACCACACTCCCTGCTCCTCGCGGAGACGCAGGAGAGCAGACGGTGAGCTCCCACCCGAGAGCATTATGGGGAGGTGTGGAGCCCTTAAGACGTGGGGCCTGGTGGAAGTGATGTCATTGAGGGCGGGGCTTGGCGACCCGCCCCTAGCTCTGTCCTGCGCTCTGTACTCTGAGCTCCCTCCCCACCAGGGCGGTCAGAGTAGCTGGCCCTGCAGCCCTGCGCTGGCGTCCCAGAGCCTGGGTCCACATGAGTCTTCCTCTTTCTAATGGATTATCTCGGGCATTTTCTCCGTGAGGGAATGCTGCCGAATGGGTACATAATTTACAAGACAGAATGTATCTGTTCACTCAGTCGATGCCCTCGGAAAACCAAAGAAAATCCAAACTGGAATTTTAAGGACATAGGTCTTCACCATGGAAAAATTTCAGTCAGTCAACAAACACTCCCTGGTGCCCACAGAGGCATTAGGGAGAGTGCTGGGCAGGCTTCCTCCAGGTGGAGCAGGGGCACTTGAGACCTCGCTGGTGGTGGGCCCTCCAGCAGCACCCAGCTGCCCAGCCCGCCGCCTGGGGTTTGGAGAATCACCTTCTCAAGATGCCAGCCGAAGACCCAACGAAGGCGCTGATTGGCTGAGAGCCTCCATCACGTGGTCACATTGAGCCAATCGCAAGGGACTGATGTAGGTAAAAACCGGTGGTTCCTACGTCCATCCTAATCTGGATTAGCTCACAAACCTTCGCTCAGAAGTAGCCAGAGTGCAGGGAGAAGAAAAAAACCCACGGGCCAGGGAGATAGCTCAGTAGCCTGGCAAGCATAGAGTCCTGAGTTCAATCCCCAGTACAAGAAGAAGAAGAAGAAGGAGAAGGAGAAGGAGAAGGAGAAGGAGAAGGAGAAGGAGAAGAAGAAGAAGAAGAAGCAGCCAGAGTGGAAGAGTTGGTCATGGCACTCATCGGGCGAGGGAATCAAGCTACAACCAAGGCTCACCTATGGCAGAGTTGCTGTGTAAACCACTGGACAGCAAGCTCAGCTTGAATTTTTTTTCCCTATAAGTGTTGATTGAACTCAGACCCTTGAGCTTGTGCTTGCCAGGGAAGCGCTTATTCTACTGAGCCATCTCCCCGGCCCTCAGCTCGAATTTCAACACATCGTTTTTTAACACAACTATGCCCCAAGTATGGCAGGAGACATGCTTCTACTGAAAAAATTACTCTTTGTTTGTTGAAATGCAAGTTTAACTGGGCGGCTGCTTTAGAAAACAATCTGGTAGTTTGTCACAAGTTTAAAACGCAGAGGTACCATATGGCCCGGGAAATCCACTCCCAGGTACATCCCCAAGGGACCGGAAAACCCATGCCACACGAAGTCTGCGCTCTGTGCAAGAGAGTTGCTCCCAGCAATTCTCTTCAGGGGGCCGGAGCAAAAGAAAGCTCAGCCGACCGACCGACGGCGCAAAGAAGCCGATATCTGCTCCGTGTAGATGAACCTTACACACATGACCTGGATGAAAGAAGCTAGGCACGAAAGCTACACAAAAGGTCCCAGAGGCTTGGGTGGGTCGACATGGGCAGTGACAGCTTGTGGGAATGGCGCTTCCTGTGGGGAGCATAACAGCGTCCTGGAATCACGCACTGGCCCTGGTTACCCAAGTCTGTAGCTGCGCTTAAAATCCCTGGACTGTATATTTTTATAGGGCAAGTTTCACAGTATGAGTTATGTTCGTTTATTTATTTATTTTTTTCTTTACTTTTTTTGAGCAAGGGTCTTGATTTGTATCCCAGGCTGGCCTCAAACTCATGGCGGGAAGACAGTGTCTGCCACCACACCTGACTTAACCTCTTTTTTTTTTTTTTTTTTTTTTTTGGTGGAACTGGGGATTGAACTCAGGCCCTTGCGCTTGCCAGGGAAGCGCTTATTCCACTGAGCCATCTCCCCGGCCCCCTGACTTATCTTCTTCTTGCAGCACTGGACATGGAATCCAGGGCCTCCTTTGTGCCAGGCAAGCGCTTACCACCCAGCCACACCCCAGTCCAGTTAAGCCAACTTAAATAATTGTGTGGGAAAACTCAGTGTCCCTTGGGCACCTTGCATTGTGATTTATTCAGTCTGGCTGCATAAACTAGTGCAATCTCATGCTCCTAAAACAGTTGGAGGACGGCAAGGTGGCACACGCCTATAATCCCATCCCTGGGGAGGCTGAGGCAGGAAAATTGCTGTGCGTTCTAGGCCAGCCCTAACTACATAGAGAGGCCCTGTCTCAAAATCTCAGGAAGAATCCAATGTTTTGCCAATTGAGAATAGCTCCATTGTTTCATCTTCAGTATTCCCAACTGGGAATGCACCCAGGAGCTCACTGATCTCTCTAACCCTTTTTGAAAACTTTTTTATTTAGAGATAGAATCTCACTACATTGCTAAATTGGCCCAGGCTGGGCTCCAACTTGAGATCCTCCTGCCTCAGCCTCCCAGAGTGCTGGGATTACTGGTATGCAGCACCTTGGCCAGAAGTGTAAATAGCAAGCAAAAATAAAACAGATAACAGGAAGTGGGGAAATGGGCCTTTCTCTGAAGGGAGGGAACCAAGACCCAGAGGAAGAAGGAAGG